TGTTTGTAAGATTTTTTAAGTGTTTCTACTCTCATAAAATATCCCTATATTCAAATTTTCATTCATTTAGGAGGAAATTGTTGAGATTGTTGCAACTTAGTTTTTCTATTATTGAGATTATTATAACATGTGTATTTTTTATTATTCGAAATATTAATATTTTAATTACTATTTCTCCTAAGATATATTTGATTTGTATTACTTTTATTATTTATGTGTACAGATATTTCAGAAAAATCATACTCTAGACTATTGAAGTCTTCAAGGAAGAATATATTAGGGTTTTTTGTAAATGGAGTATATAAATTTTCACTTTTATTTAGTCAGAGAGAGTGTGATTATAATTGTGTAATCGCGCGCACACACATACACACACTATGATAGTGTTTAAAATCTATTAATTTTTGAACTAATCATACTGTGTAATTTTAATTTACACGGGATAATTTATTCAATTATTTTCTCTTATGAGTAGTTAAAGAACTGTGGGAAGAAAATTTTTCTAAATATTGATCGCAATGTATGAAGTGATCTTCATATCGACGACATCCAAAGCACAAAATAGATGCGCCCCTATTCATCCCGATGATTTCTGAAAATTTTTTGAACTGATCGTACTATACGAAGTGCCTTCGTACAAATAATGTCCAGAGAACGAAATGAATGGGTTCTTTTTTGTCCATGCAAATTTTAAATTTTGTTTATTACTAATCGTATTGTATGAAGTGACCTTCATATAGATGACATCTAGAGTACAAAAATAATAGGTTCTTTTTCATCCCGAATAACATCAATTTTTTCTAAACTAATCGTAGTGTACAATACACAGTTTGTACATATGACGTATATAGTATAAAAATATGTGGTATTCTTTTGTCCCGATGAAGCAAAACAAATTTTCAACCATTCGTATAGTACAAACATGATTTGTATTGAACAATTATCATGTTTGAAAATAATTTGTACATGTACGTACTCAACAGTTTTTGAACTATTCGTACATATGATTGACGATCGTAATGTATGATCGTACATGCTCAAAATGACAATTTTTAATTTTCTGGATATTTTTTTTCATGTCATTCATATAAAAAGTCCTCAAAAATTGACTTGAAAAATGTTGTACTTTGTGTTTCTTTGAGTGCAATTGAAAGAGTTTTTTGGGAGAGTGTTTGAGAAAGAGTTCTTGCAAGTGAAGTGTGAAGGGTTCATAAGGTTACTCAAAGGTAAGAATCTTTTTTATTTTTTGGTTACTACTCTTCCTTTCTTCTTTCTAGTTTCTTAAGAGAAGATCTTTGAAGAAGATCCGGTACTCTGTTGACACTTGGAGTGTTTGAAAGGATGACAGTACTCTGCCGACACTTGGAGGGTGTGAAAGGATGACGGTACTCTGTTGACACTTGGAGGGTATGAAAGGACGAAGATGGTTCTAGAGGAGAGTAGTAACCAAAGATGGTTCCAGAGGTCTATATGCATGATTAAAATTTTATAATTTTCCAGTGGGTAGTGCAACAACATTGAACCCTTTGTCTTTTCACTAAATTAATTCAAGCTGCACTACTTAGAGTGATGCTGCAGTGCCATGCTTTTCAGTGGAGAGCACTAAGTCCTTTAATTTTATACATAACATCTAAATTTAACCAAATGAATCCATGCAAGATCTAATTTTACACATTCATTTCTTATTAAATAAGAGGCTGAAATCCATATAGTTCCATTCTAATAGAAAAAATTATAATCTACTTTTCATAAAACAGAATGGTATATAATGATGAAAGGCCTTTGGGTGGAATTTGTGGAAAGAAATTATTATGGGTGTTTAGTTTAATATGTGAGAGTTTGATATGCAGTTAATGGAATGAAAGTGAGGGCTTTATAGGGTTTTCATTGAAGGAATTACATGTGTAGTTTAAATCAGAGGGTAGTTTAGGTTAAATTTAAATATCTCCTCTACCAACTAATTTAAATTTATCCAAATAAAAAGAATTTTTGTTGAAGGGTTAGTTCATGATATGAACTTGTGATCTACGATTTTTTGTTGATTTTAATGAGCTTTGGGATTTGCGGTGGTGTGGAAAGTAAGTTAAGGTACTTGTCTTCCTATGCTTGCTCAAGAGCTACTATGGTGAGATTAAGTCATGTTTAGGGCTTGGGTAGTTGATGGTTAGGCTTAGATGACTGTTATAATTTGGAGGAAGAACTGTGGATGATTTAAAAATGTGTTGAGAAGAATACAAAGCACATACATGATAAACAAGCAACTCTTTATAGGAAAGGTATAGAAGGTCAATGTATATTGAATATGAAGAGGTGGATTTGATAAGAAAATATAAAGAGCTTGATTTAAAATGAGAATAAAAAATTATTTTGAAATAGTGTAGCTGAAAATGAATAATGAGAGGCTAAATTTGAATGTTATAATAATTATGGGTTATTAGATAAAAATTAAATTGATATAGTTGAATGATTATGATTTAAAATTATAAGTGTTAAATTAAGTTAAAGGTTAAAATCATGAGGAGAAAATTGAATTTCGAGCCTCGAAAATTGGTAAATTATTTCGTGTGGAGACTAGACGGTTCTCCTGTACGAATTTGTTTAGTATTTCTAAATACTCAGTAAATACTAAGCAAATGAGAAAATATTTAAAAAATGATTAACAAATACTCACAAAATCTATAAGTATACTTAATAAATATATACAACTTAATATTTATTAAGTATTTACTAAATTTTTATGGTTTACCTGATTTATTTATCAAATGGATTAAAGGCTGTATTTCTAATGTCTTTTTGTCCATATGCTTGAATGGATCCCTTGAAGGCTATTTTAAATCCACCTCGAGATTGAGACAAGGTTATCCCTTTTCCCCTCTCCTGTTTTGCATTGCCATTGATGGCTTATCTCACTACCTCCAATCTTTTAAGTTCTTGGGGATTTCTTGCAATGGTGTTAACATAAACCATTTGATGTATATGGATGACCTGCTGGTTTTTGGGAAGGCATCTATCTTGAACTCTAATAACCTTAAAAATGCCCTGATCCTTTTTGCTGACCACTCTGGACTCCACATTAATCCCACTAAAAGTTCCATTATTTTTGCACCTAATGTTCTTGATGCTTCCCTCATTTCTAGTGTGCTTAATATCCATCAAAGGGAAACCTACTTTACCTATTTGGGCCGTCCTATTTCCCCTCACAGGCTTAAATTTAATCACTTCCACCCCTATTGAGCAAGGTTTTTACTCTACTTGAGTGTTGGAAAGTTAAGTTCCTTTCTTTAGCAAGTTAGGTCCAATTTTTAAAGTTTACGAATGCCAACACAATTGCATATTGGATTAGGGGATCTATTATCCACAAAGCCTATCATATCTCTATTTCTAAACTCTGTGCTAAATTTTTTTACCATTGGAACATTTCAGACAAAAAAAAAATCATCTAATTTCATGGAGCACTACTGTTAAGCCTAAGTGTAATTGTTGACTTGGCATACCTTCTTTTGAATCCCTTTATTTTGGGACTTATTGTTCTTGCATCTAGAGGCTTTTCCTACATGACTCTATCTTCAACACTTGGTTTAGAGCCAAATATGATTCACCATGGAAGACACCCCCGTCGCATGCCTCCAAGGCTTGGAAATACTTATGCTCTATTGCTTACAAAATTAAAGCCTATGTTCAGCTCTATGTTTCTTCTTTATGTAAATTTTTCATGCTATGGGAGCCGTGGTGTTATGGTAGTTCCTTATTCCGAAATTTCCTCTTGGAATGGTTTTTCTCATTTATTTGTGGATGATTTCATTTCTAATGGTCAGTGGATTATCCCGAGCAATGTCCCAGATTCTTTAAGGGAGGCTATCATCAATGTCCATATCTTGGAGCAACCGACCCTGGCTTCGGATGGCTCTAAGCATCCTACTTTTAAACAATTCACTGATCTATTCCATTCCAACCTTGAGAAAGTAACTTGGTTTAAATATATCTGGATTAAAAAGGGTGTTATTAGTTTTAATTGCTTTTCTTGAATGTCTGTTTTGGAAAAACTTAAGTGTGCAGATTTACTTATAAGGAAAGGTATTGATGTTTCAGCGGCCAGTTCCTTATGTCATTGCTCGCTTGAATCACACCACCACCTGTTTTTTGAATGCGATTTCCCTTTTATGGATTTGAAAGATTTATTGCCAATCTTTAGCTTGTTCTTTCTTAGACCGAACATTTTACAAACCTTTGATTTTCTGGATTTTGAGAGCCATTATTGCTCTTTGGAGAAACTTCTGCTACCTGTTGATTAGCTACATTGTTTATCACTTATGGAGGGAGATAAACAACCATCATTTCTCCAACTGCTGGGCCAGTCCTTTTTCTGTTGTTCACCATATCAAGTCGGCTGTTAAACTCAAAGTGAGAAGCTGGAATTGTTATGATAAGCTTAAAGTTGCCTTCCATGAGATCCTGTAACCCTTATTGTGCTAGATGCTACTTTTGTTTGGATATTTTTGTGTCAATTTTTGCATACTGGACGATGATGAACCATACCTTTTGGATGCCTGCCACAAGTTTTTTGGGTTTGCTCTCCTCCCTGGATGGCCCTGTGCTTATCGTTCATTGGCCATGGCAGGCTTGTGGCAACCATTGGTTTGCTGATTTGTTGCTCTCCGAAACTTCAACTCTAACATCTTGATGTTTTGCCTGGCTTCCAGAGTCTTGTTTTTGTCCTCCGCTCATTTTTGTTTTCTAGGGTTTGGAGACTTGCTTGTTCCTTCTTTTTTCTTATAGGTTTCTTTTGTTACTTGTAATTTCATTTTAGTTTAATACATAGGTTTTTGCCCCAAAATTTTCTAAAATATATATATATTTTTATAAATACCTAACAAATCAAGATGATTCTCCAATCAAATTCCGCACTTATAATAAGTTCTCCTCTAAACCGGTCTTTAACGGGCTTTCTCTCGCAGCCCATTAACTAGAATAGGTACTATAAAGTTTTGGGGAAAACCCTAGCGAAATCTACTTGATCTTATCCGAGCAGTAGGAAGCCGCCTCTCGCCCTCTTTTCCGTCGCCGAATGGGAAGAGGAAGTAGCGAATGGCTTGGCACGCCCTGCGATGAAGACTGCCTGCCGGCGGAGCACTAAAAATTTCTTCTCTTATTCTGAAGCGAAGCCGTGCAATGACGCTCGCGCGGGCTCCCCAACCATTCCTCTCAGTTTATTTCTTCATTTGTCGGAGTATAAATTTTGCTTTTGATGCTGAAAAATATTTTTCTCGTTTTGAATCTTTTTATTTCTTCCTTTTTTTCTTTCTAATCCTGCGTAAAACCGTTTCAATAATGCAGCGCAGAATTTTTCTAGAGCATGGAAATTGTGATCCTTTTGACGATTCTTAAAATTCCATGAAATTTTATTTCTTGATTGGCAGTTCTATTTTATTGGAGGATTTATATGTAATTTCAAACAAGATTGAGTCTCTTGCGTACTTTTGGACTTGCGGCACGCTGATGGATTTATCTCTGATTGAGGAACTTAGCATCCAATGCTTGCAAAAGCAATTACCGTTTAATATACTATTTTACGACAGATTTCAGTAAGATTTGTATTAAATCCTTTCATACAGCATCGAAGGAGGCGAAAAAGTCATTTAGCGATTCGTTCAAAACTACCTCTCACACGAAGCAGGCGAAGTTGAAGAGCAACGAACAGCCGGAGAAGAGGAAAAGTAAACCCCAGCAAACTTGCGGTTATATGAAGGCAGTGCAGAACAGGTATTGCTAGAGAACATAAAATAAATTACTTTAGTTCTATTAATTTATTTAAAATTATTTAAGAATATAATGTATCTAATAATTAATTAATTTTTTAGATTAATTGATACTTAACATAAATTCTAATTTTATTATTTGTAATACTTAGTTTGTAGTGATAATTAAAATTAATAATTAATTATTAATTCTTAAATAATTAAAAATATAATCAAAATTAAAATAATAATTTTTTTCATAATTAAATTGTTTTTTTAATTATATTATTTTATAATGATAATTTATTGATAGTAATTAAACTTATTATTAATAAGTAACTTGTATTTAAAATATAAATTAAACTTAAAACAGAAATTAAATTATTTTTTAAAATGATCTAAGTTCCTTAATTCCTGATTTACATTGCCAAACGATTTCACAAGATTTAACACTTATGTTGCAAAACATTTTTTAGTATTGAACTTTAGCAAGATTTAGGGTGCGTTTGGGACGGCTGCAGCTGTCGAACGCGAAAATTTCCGCCATTTAATCGCAGGTGAACAGTGTGATGCCAATATTGGCGTCGCACTGTTCACTCACGTCATTTTTTGCTCTCAACCGGAAAAACGCGCGAAAGGGAGGGCGATCGTTACCTTCTCAAAAACACCTAAAATGGCGTTCGATTGGAGCATCACCGCGCCATTTTGGAGTTTTGCGTTACTTTGCCGTGAAAAATGAAGTTTTCGGTTGGAGATGCCCTTAGCGTCTTTTTGTATTTAGATGTCATGAAGAAAAGCTATTTTATCTAACCATTGAGTTCACTTTTTTTCATTAATGTTTTCATAGTGATTATTATGCTCATTTTTGTAGCTAACAATGTAATTGTTTTGAATGTTAGGTTATTTTGAAAAATTGATACATTTGGTAGCTTTCATCATTTTTAATTTTATGTGAAATTTGCTTTAATTTTTTACTCAACAGATCTCAAATGTAATTATCTAATTTCCACACATCAGTTATGTGAAGGTAAGGTTTCGTTTGGGACGGCTTTCTTACTGCTTCTTAAAACAGTGTTCTAAAATTAAGTTTAGAACACTGTTTTAAAAAACAGTAAGGCTTCGTTTGTTTTTTTGGTGCTTTTGTAAAAGACAGTTTTGAAAAACATTAGTTCAGAAAATGGAGTTTTCTAACGGAGAAGCATATATAAAAAGCTTTCTCAAAACTGCAGAAAAATGAAAAAAATGAGTTATTGGGAACGTGATTTGACGAACCAAACAACACAAAAAAAAAAATCCTCCGTTTCCGGAAACGGAAAAGGCAAAAAAACGCTCAAACAAACAAAGCCTAAGAAAGTTTCTAGAACACTGTTTTAAGAAACAGAAAGAATGCCGTCCCAATCGAAGTCTAAATGATACTTTAAACAATTTTTTCTATTTTTATACAGCGAAATGAGACCTTATGTTAATTAGGAAGAATATTTGGAGGCTGAATACTGTTTGACGTCAGAAGTTGAGCTGCAGTGGAGTCCTATTATAAAATATACATCTTAATATTTTTTTTTTAGTTTTTAACATTTAGTATTTTTAAGTTGTTCTTAGCATTTGGATATTATTATTCTCTATTTGTATCTAGTGAGTCAGCACCCTTGAATTTGTATTCGCCTAATTACTGAATTACATTGAATTACATTTTGCTTCTGTTCCACATCGACTGATTTTGTTCTCGTCGGTTAATTATTTATGGGCAACGAACTTGATGAAATTCAGTTGCTTACTTCAGTAGGATACATCATGAACTTTCATGATGTAGGATCATGATAATCATCACCTTCATCTTAATGATCTTGATCACAACAATCTTTGCTTACATGATCTTTTTCATGATAGATTTAATAAAATTTAATTAATTAAATTCTATTTTATATTTTTATGATAGCAACTTTTTTCGTATATAATCAGATCAGATCATATTTCATTACATAAAATAATAATTGAATCTAATAATGCATAATTTTTAATGATGTTGATATTGTATTTAATGATGGTGATGATCATCCAGCATCTTATCATGTCTTCTATTTTTCCTTCCTATAATTGCCAAATGGCTTTGCTACCTGGCTATTACTGGATAACCTCAACCACCTTATTTTTTACATATCTGATTAACAGAATTGAACAAGTTGTATGCTAGTGTTTATGTTGTTGAAGATAGAAAATCATCATTTATTTTGTTAAGCCATGGATTTTTTAAAACTATAAAAATCCACAAAACCCTTACTCTATGGTCAATAGCTCATGATCTATGATGCACGGACACGGACACGTCAACACGGACACGGGACACGGAATTTTTTAAAAATATAGGACACGGGTGCGGCGTGAACACGGCATAATATTTTTTTAATATAATGTATAGAAATTAAGATGACATTATATTAAAAATGAAAAACAATAATAAATCAATTTCATGGTAACTTGTTTAGCTTATAACATAAAGATGTTTAGTACAAAGTGTCTAGTACAACCACAAAAATATAAGCAAAAAATTATTTAGTACAACATGAAGGTCCAACTACTCAATAGAGGGAATGATAGAATTAGATTCAGAGGTTGATCTTTGGCCTTCAATATCATCATCATTGAATATCATTGCTTCCAACTCTGGTTCATCTAGAGAAAGATTTGCAACCTCCAATAACCCCATATCATCAAGGCACTCCAACCCATCTTCAACAACATCCCACATCTTATTATCACTTGTCATATAAAGTGGGGTTTTCCTTGTATTGAGCGGTACCTAGCAATACCTAGCGGTACCGAGCATGTACATTAACTTTTTTTGGTAAGTTTCAAAAAATCAACAATTAATATTTCAGGCGTCGAGAGTCAGGCGTCGATGCCATTTATCAGCACTGACAGAGGAGATGAAAATACATTCACTGTCAAAAAGAAATTAAAATGAGAATATTCGATGATTGGGTATTAAGTGCGGACGTTGATTTAGTGTTGTGGATATGAAATAAGAAATTTAGTTTAAATCCCGCAAAATACAATAAATTATATTTTAAAAAAATCATAAAATATTTAAGATACGCGTGTCGGACACGCGTGTCCAATCTGCATTTAATATTTTTTAATCGGACACGTTTTCGGCTTGTCCGACACGTGTCGGAGGAGTGTCGGACGAGTGTTGTGTCGGACATTGCACGCCTTTTTGAGGAGAAGTGTCGGTGCATCATAGCTCATGATCAACGTCTGACCTGAAGAAATTCTCGTCCTTTTTATGTTTTTGAGAGCATTAATAAAGTTTTATGTATGTTTGATCAGTATATTTTATCATTAGATAGATTTCCCTAGATTAATGTTTTTGTCCTTCCTGTAGAAATGCTTGGTTGCGAGTGCTTTTGTACATCAGACTGCTTTTCTTGATTTGTGGAATGAAAGATTTCCAACCCACATTTCTTATGCACCAGCCCGAATTTTTGAAGGCATTCTTTTGTTTAAAATTTTTTTGGCATAATATTTAATCCATACATTATATTATCAACAGGATTGCTGGGTGAAAGAAAAAGTATGTTTAATAGATTTTTTGGCTCAATGTTATAGTAGCAACTTGTGCTTTGTTTGGAGCACATATGTTGATATTTCATTTATGTCGTGTTGAATGAAATAAAATCATTATTCCCACTCTTTGGTCTAATTCATATTTCTTCCATGAAGCTATGAAGGTCATTAAAGTTACTCGCATAGAATGGATTTGATGATGGAAAATTCTTTTTCAAGTACATGATGCAATTCCTATATATTAATGCATTCTTGTGGATTGTCCTAATAATTCCTTGCCTCTAATGTGTGCCCCTCTCCTCTCAAGTGAGTACTTTGGGCAAGTGACGGTGAGTGGGTTGGATTAATATTTGTGATTTGAGTAACATGCTTGTTTATGGTAGCAAGTGTAATAAATTGAATGTTTAAATTTTATAAATATGTGTATGTTTGTATTAAATTGTAATTTTTTAGGAATCTAATGAATCAAATAGAGAGTTTATATATAAAACATGGAGTAATTTGTTGTGTTCAAAAATTGCCATTACAGCGTCACAACATTGTAGTGATTGGAGTGACACTGTAGTGTAGCATGCTGGCACTATGGCGCTAAGCTCTCGGGCTTGGAGAGTTGTTTTGAGCACTATAGTGCCATGGATATGTTGAGATTTGGATAGATGATATCTGGTCAGTGCTGATGTGAGTTTAGGTGGTTTCAAATAATAGTACAATGATGTTCTGATCGTCACTGTGACACTATTTTAGTGCTCCGGAGCGGGTTTAAATAGTTTGCTTTTATATATTTATTCTCAATCATTTCTTATCTCATGTTTATTCTATTTTGTAGGGAGAAAGAGAGAACTCTTGGTGAGAAAAAAAGTGAAAATGGTGGTGTAGAAGAACAGAAATTTTGGAGGTTGTAGAGTCGGATTCAATCATCAAATATATCATGGAAATTGTTTGTTTTGAGGTAGGCTATTGAAAACTCACTTAGTTTTTAATTTTGGGTGTTGGTTGGATACATAATCAAGGAAATATGATTTTTTGAGTTTTAACTAACTTTTTTTTTGTACAACTTATAAGAGTATTTCATGTGTCCAATGCGAGAAACAAAAAGTTTGTAGAATTTTATCAGATTCTTTGAAATGAAAGAAAAATTATGTGCAATGAAACTAATCTTTAATGCGGTAAGAATCGATCTTTCAATTTCTAGTGATTTCATGATTTTTAACCAACCGTGCACGTTATCATATCTAATATCAAACGTTTAAAATGTCAATTGTAGTCAACTGCTTTAAAACTATATAGTTGCAATCACTATTATTTCATGCCATATTTATACAAATTCATAATACTATTATGTGCATACCATGGCGGAAGAGGATGGAGGAAAGCTGCTATTATTCTTCATCTATCTGAATGGTAAATGATAAATGAATGAGATATAATAATCAGGATTGTTTTCTATCTGTCTGAATAATAGATGAGAGATAAATGTGAATTTATTGACCTTCATTTGATTTTGTGACAAATAAGAGATAAATGTAAAACTATTGTCCTACATTTATCCTTGTAATTTATGAGAGATTAGTGTGCAATTATAAGCAGGTTTGTCCTCCATTTTATGTGCCAGATGGGAGATGAATTTTGAGCTGTATGTGGATATATGATGGAAGAAGAAGAAACTGAGAGAAATGTTCTTGAATTTATACATTTCATAAATCATTGTTCCTATATTATCTTGATACATATGCATACCTTAATGTGATGTAAATAATGAGAATGCTATACATGATGTCTATTAAGTTTCGACAAGTGTTATGTTGAAGAAAGTTTTGTAGATTAAGCTACATTGATATGGCAAAATGATTTGAAAATTCTAATGTTAAGAATATCATTCACTAAGAGTTAGATTATAGTGTAAATGAATATAATATTTTACATGATATATATATATATATTCCAAATCTATACTACTATTAAAGTGCCGCTTGTGCATCTTCCCATACGTCATCTTGGCCATTAAAAATTTAAAGCTTTATATCAGCCGTTGATTTTATTAAAGCTTTATCCTAAGCTGCGTTTTCTCTTTCAAGGCATCCCTGCTCATTTCTCTTCGCATCCCTTCACTCATCATTATCAAAAAAACATCCCCACGCGAAATGACGCTTTCATATATTCTCTCTCGACGCCGAAGCCTACTGTATCTCGCGCGTCTCCCCCATTGTCGCTTCCTGCCTGCTCACCGAACTCAACAATCGCTTCCTGCCTGCTCACCGAACTCAACAAAAATCCCGTTTCAAAAGGTAAACTTCTTACTGTTATTTTTTTTTCTTCACGCCTCTTTTTATTTCTTAAAATAGTTGTTGTTGAATTTTTTTTTGCTCTTACCTTGCTTTCGTTCGATTTTCGCTCGCCGAATCCTTCGTTATCTTGCGATTCTCCCTCTAATCCAACGCGGCTATACAAATGTTGCTCGAAGCCCCACGACTTAACCTATTTTTAATTCTTAGGGGATGTTTGGTATCAGATATAGTCCCGGATTTAAGTCGGATTTACGCTAAATCCACCCAAACGGTTTTTGTTGTGTGCTCGTTAAACCCAGGGATTCCCCGGATTTAGGGATCTAAGTCTTAAATCCCGGATTTACTAAATCCCTCTGTTCGGCGTATTTAACGCTATTTAGCAGAAGAAGCGGGCGAAAGGGAGAAACTTACCTTCACAGCCAGCGAGTTCCCGTTCTTCCTTCCGATCAAAATGTCGAAAATTCGCAATCCGAGCAGGAAGGGAAGACGTCGAAGGTTCTAAGTTGAACAGTCAAGAAGGAAACGAAGAAGCTACGCATGCAATCTCCACACCTCCTGCGCGCGAAGTAGCGAAGTAACAGCGAACGGCTAATAGAGAAAGATGGCAGGCAAACTTCAGGCGTTAAGTTTTGTTGGTTTACTTAATTAATTATATTTTAAAATATTAATTAATAAGTAGAATAATTAAATGTTTAATTGTATAATTAGTTATGTGTTATTTACTCTTTCTGTCAATAACGGCATTATATTTACACTTTTGATTTCCTTTAAATTTTGTAAATTTTATGTTTCTCTTCTTATTTTTTAGGGCCTAAATTTATTATAATTTAGTAACTTCATAATAATAAAAAAAATTTTAGTCATACTAATAAATAAGTACATTTATATATACTTAAAAAGTAAATCATCGTTATTTTTACTGTGTTATTCTATTAATACATGATATTTCTCTTTAACTTTGGTTAAAGAAAATAATAAGTTGACTGATTAGCTATGGTTGTTTCTCTGCTGCATACTGTAGCGAGTTTTTTCCTCCTTTACTCAAAGACATAAGAATGAAGAAAATGAAGAACATTAAATCGAATATATTCCGATAGCTACAATGAGTCTACATTAATCAAATATTTTTTTAACGTTAAAATTCAACTTTTTACCATTCAACTCTATCTTACTCCTTGATTTTGACTTAGATTTGTTTTAAATTCATGCAGTTTCATTTAAATTCAATCTCTGTTGTTTGGTAGAGCACAAAATATTCACATAAAATTACAACTTTTAGGGCACTCATAACACATTTTGATGGTTTCCTCTCACTTCTTCAGAAATCATGTGTGAATTCAAACTATCATTGTTAATTATTCTTCATTGTTCTTCAATTTTTCCTTTATGGCTACTTTAATAGTCCATCTCAATAAATTCATCTAAGATTTTGATGAAGAGCGTTTTGTAAGTATTCATATTTATATTTTAAAAATATTTTCTTCAACAAAATTGATTTCACATATTTCTTCTGATTATCGGAATGATGGGCTTCTTATTGGCAATGTATGCAATTCTTTAATTGCATGTAATTTTCTTATTTTCTTGTATATGCTTTCAGTGGAATCAACTCATGTGCTTGTGTAATTCACATCCAGTTTTCCTTTGAAGGTACGCTTCTCAGTTATTTTACTCCTGATACTAACATTATATCTTGCTTAAGACATGACTCGCTATGAAATTAAAATTGTTTTCTTCTTGTTACTTGTAATACTAAATAATATGGCATTGTATTGTTCAATGTAATCAATAGCATATTCATTCATTGTTTATATCTTGATAACTTGGGCTACAAGGTTATTGATTTAAGTTCATTAAAAGGGATGATATTGAAGTTTTTTTTTTTTTGGTTCGATGTTCAGATTTAAACATTTTAGTGCTTTATCAACAAATTTCCTCCATATAATAAATTTTATTATTGCCCATTGCAGCTTTTGCCTCTTCCACATTATGTAATTTTTCTTAATTTTGGCATTTTTTGTCCACATCTACCAATACTCAAGAATATTTGTACATTCTGTATTATTATATTATCTCTCTTCTT